TTATTTCAACTATAGTTTATGAAATTATAATTTGAATATTATTATATAAATTGTTTGAATAAAATATTCTTTAATCTCTAATCTTTCATTATCTAATCTTTATCATAGGAATTATTCTAACATACAAATTTTTCCTAAATATTTATAATATTATATATACTTTGAAACATATTAAAATTACAGACGTTGAAAATTTTTTTCCAATTATTTATTAGAGAAATGAATTCTAAGAATCTGAATTTTTAAATATGGCCCTTTCCTAATCATCCAAAGTGCATGTGGCTATTTAGTAGAAAAAACAGATGTATAGTTATTCCGAAAATCAATTTATTATTATGTACAGATTATGTATTTGATAATCGATTTATACTTTTTATTATGAATTATATGAACCAATTAATTATAGTAATTTAGTCTTAAATTTTATTATATATGGAAACATATTTAATGCAACGAGATATTGCAGCTGAAATTTAAGGATCCGTGTATACTGATTTAAATGATTTCAAACTTCCAGCAGAAATGATTTTCTGTTTCGCTTCTATTTTTACAAATCAGTTTTCTCATGTGTTGCTCCAGGTATTATACATAGTTACCGATATTATTGATATTTTGTCAGGTTACTATCGAGTACATTACGACGAAAGAAATTGGATGTTATTGAAAACGTCGTTGCACGTAAATCACGAGTTATTCCCGCCAGAAACGAGGGCGTCACTCATAGACGACATTTTTAGTCTCGCTGCGATGGGTTTGATGAAATACGAGACTGTCTTTGACTTTATTAAATATATGCAGATCAAGGAGAGGCATTACCTGCCGTGGACGGTGTTGATGCGACATGCATTCAAATTAAATAGACTTCTATACGAAACTACGGTCTTCACCGATTTCCAGGTATGATATATTCACTCTAAAATTAAAACAATTAACGAAATACTTACAAAGATCGATGATGAAATATCAGCCCGTGTAGTTTGAAATGATTCGAAGAGAACGGCTTTTTTTTAATTATATGAATATTTTATTAATCAAAATGTGCACCGCTTGATTGAACACATTTCAAAACTTTTTGTTTTTAATGTTTCCAAAGCGAGCAGAAATAAATTAAGCATTCCGTTTACGGATTGACTCGTTAAAATAAATTACTGTATTAGATTCAAATAGTTAACAAACTTGGCAACTAATTAAAGTAAAAGCAGAAATACATTTTTATTTTATTTTCGTTTCTTTCGATTGATTAAGACAATTTTTATTTTTCAGTCTATAGACGATGAATATGCATAGATACGTTCACTAACTTAAATTACTTCGAATACTAAATTTTAGTATAAATCTTATGATTTGTAAATTTTACACATTTCTAATGTTAAGTAAATGTTAACTTCTATTCAAACAAAAATTGACTGTATTGAAATTCTTTTTGGAACCTGTCGTAAAATAGTCTTCAAAAATAGAAGTTACATAAATAAATATGCAATTACGTTGTAACAATTTAATGTTATCTGAATGCTTGATGTCATGCAAGTATTTATTAATACAAGACGTAAAATATTGCAGCGACATTTTAATGAATCATTAATATTATCGAAACGCCTCTGGAAAACGTTTACGTCATTTGGCAATCACGTCGTTGCATAGTGATACATGTCTACAGTTGCTGGAATATCGTATAATTACATTATACAATTGCACGATGTTGAAAAAATCGAATACCCCAGCGTTTCTAACATTTTTTTGTTTCATCTAGTTACTAAATTTCATTTTCAGGAGTTTATGGTGAATTTTGTGTCGGCATTGTACGCTGAAGTCGGATCGAAAATTGAGGAAGGCTCGCATCTCACGAAGATTGCTATAAAATTGGCGTGTGGCTTTGATCACACGGAATGCTTGGACTGGGTCAAAAGTACATTCGAAAATGCTAAGACTGATAACGAAATTACAGAAACGTATGCTTATTATTGAAAAAATTAGGTTTTTAATTAAATTTTAGTTTGAACTAACTAAATTTTTAACTTAATTTTAATTTAGCTTAAACTAACTAAATTTCAAGTTCATTTTAATTTAGCTTATTAACTTTTCACATACGCTAATATTAACACTAATAAGATCATATCGTTTAGTTTCTAATAATCGTAAAGACAACTTGCTTTCTAACTTTCAAACGTGCTTGTTTGTTATTTCCACAACTGCCCAAATACATTATTAACAAACTCATTTATTATAAAAACTATAAAAAATTTGATTCTCGCTCAATATTAAGTGACTTCAAAAAACTCTAATTTTACTATTTAATTTTTTATTAATTATTATTGAAAGTTTTTTACAGTTATCAAATACGTAAATTACGGTTATTCGTTTATTCTCCTACATTTTTACGTTAAGAAAGCAGTTTAAATCACTTAATCGTAAAAGTCATGGAAGATGCAATATTTTCAGTGTACCGTCGTACATCCGCCAGACATTTTATTGCACCCTTGCACGTTATGGTACAAAAAAAGAATGGAATTACTTTACACAAAGAGTAGCTGCAATCGACGACGAAGCTGAGAGGAAACGTTTATTAACGTCGTTCGCTTGTTTCCAAGCGCCCTGGATATTACAATAGTAAGTTACATTGCTTACAGTAGAAAATTAGCATTAATTTGTATTCGTCATAAAGATACACGTAATATGCGTTCAAGCGAAATTATAATTCGAAAAGTAAATTGAGCTGATATCGTTGCAAAAATATTATGAATACAAAAAATCAAATAAACATCTTGTGTTCATTCCTGGGAAAATATGTAACAAAGTGGGCGAGCTTAGTTCGAGCTTTAAAAAGTAAAATTTCATTTTTATCTAAAAAATGTTGCAAAAACATCAACAAGTATATACACACATATGTAAAGAGTATAAGTCGAATTTTGACCAAAATAATAGAGAACACCATTTTCATAAAACAAGGAAAGGAGCGTTTTCTAAATCGAATATAATGTGTACTTTATATGTTTAATGAGACGACAAAAGTATTATAAATTCTTATGCTCAAAAATGAAAGTGCTCTATCGTACAACCAATTTCGATTTATAATCTTTTGATCACCTATCAGAGATTTGTTGTGTTAAATCATTAGGATTGCGTTTATTATAGTCACGCTGATATTAGCGTATTGTTATATTTTCTTCGAACACTAGCATTCTCAACGAGATCGTTCACGAAGAGACATTTCGTCAAGGTGAAATCGTAGTAATTTTAAAAGCGTTCCCTCTGAACCCAGCCGCGGCTCAGGCTGCAGCTCGATTCGTACGAGCCAATTGGCAAGATATTTCCGACAAGTAAGTATCTTTTATTCCTCGACTATGAACTTTTGTGCATGTTAATATAATTATCATGTAATTTGCACAACACAGATTTTCTGGATCCTATGCGTTGCTAAAATTCTTTGTATTATCGATGAGTAATGGCTTAACTACTGAACAAGACTTGGAGGACGTAAGAACACATTCAAATTAACTATAAACGAAGTTGGTTACAAAAGTAACACAAATCGTTTGATTTATAAAGGTTTGCTAAATTATCGTTTATCGCATATTCAACTAAATATTTACACAAAATGTTACATACACTAAACATCAAACCTGGATAAAGTTAATGAAATACTCTTGTTTGCATGAAATAATGTTACAAAATTTATTTGACGTCGTAGAGATAAATACATACATCGAAAATAGTTACACATGTTGTGGTAAAGATATTATAGTATTTTCTTAGAGACGATATTATCTTAAGATGTACTAGAAATAATTATTTGAAATAGTATTCCATGTATCTAAATTTCAATTAATTATTTGGAATTTTATTTCTTACGATTAATATTTATGAGGAAAGAATAAACCTAGAGAAAAAAATAAAAAAACATTTGAAAACTTAATAACAGTTCTATTTGTGAATAACTTACGGAGTTTGCAATTAACACTCGCGAATACGAAAATCATGTCACGTGAAATGCTTATCAACTTTTTCCAAAAGAGTAATTGCACTACCTATATATGCATGTTGCTACGGTCCTATAATACGTACTGGCACTCTTAATGTAGATGTGCGCTTGTGTCAGTTTCATTTACACATGAATATATTTACGATCAGAATTAAAAACTGGGTTCATCCTCTTTATTCGAAAATCTAGTGGGGTGGGTACTAATATTGACCTATGGATTTCACCGAGTAAGCAGATTTAGTGTCGCGCGTGTATGTGCAAGCTGAAAGTAAAATTTTAATTAAATAAATATTTCTTCTATTTAAAAATTATAAATAAATGAATATCTATTTTATGAAAAAATTGTAAATATATTTCCTGTAATATCTACGGGTTTACATAGTAACTCATCGTTCTTAAATGCTAATAATTTAACGAGATTTTTGTTTGTTGATAATTCATAATCACAATTTTTGTCGTGATTTCGTCATTCGTAATTTTAGTCTTATTTAATATCTGATGTAAATTACAGAATTGTATTCCTAAAATTATAATACGTTTGAAAATTTCATTTAATTGTTACATTTGCCATGCTTACTACGTTCAGTCAGAATTGAACTCATACTTCGAAGTTAGTGTTAGTATTCAAGCATAACAATTTTGTACAGTTTGATTAATCTAGTAAATTAAGCAAATAATTATATACTTTCTTTTAAT